TTATCCCTTGTCTTGGTGACCCCTGTTCCCCTTATCCTTTGTTCTTGTGTGACAGTTACGTCGGCTATTATTTCCCCTTTTTGTTTTCTGGATTCTCTCACCTTTTCGAATGTGTATTGTATGAAAATATTGATCTGTTCCAAGATTGCATGTGTTGTATCTACTACTAAAGAAAGAAACAAATCCGGATTCATTTGGTTTGTGATTTATATAGATAACCATTGTGACTTAACTCTCCTTTTTTCTTGTTCTAGAAAATCATGCTGAGTTTTCATGAAGAGCAGGAAATATTACCCGACACATTCCTATCTAACTTTCCGTCATTAATAAAAGTGGACATTCACAAGAAGGTCACCGATCCCAGTGTAGCCAAGGGGATGATGGCGTGCCTCCTGTCTTCTCTGAAAGCCCATGGTAAGTTCAGACGGCGAACTGTTCAGGGTGGGGAATAGTTTTCGAAGACCCTTCAGCTTCATTCAGAGTGCCGCAAGCTGTGCGTGTCTATGGATGCATACAGCATAAGGCCCCATTCACACTAAGCGACACTTACCTCGAGCGAATTTCCGAGCGGCGGGATAGCGCGACGGTCCGGGTGCCGGTCCAGCAACGATCGCGCGACCTTCACCGTCGGGCTGCATTAAACAAAAAAAGGAAATTTGCGCGACATCCGCGGGGAACAAGGATCCTGCAGGCGCGACTTGCAACCGCGAAAAGCGACGGGCAACATGGAGCTGTACATTAAGACCGCTCCATTGAAAATCATTGGCTGGCGACTTCTCGAGATATCGCGTGGGAAAAATGCGCGATATCGCAGGATTTTCCACTCAGTGTGAATGGGGCCTAAGTGCTGGAAAGCACATGCATGGGTGTCTTCTCAGCAGCTGGGTAGCTGATGGAGACACATGCACGGGGGGGATTGGGGACGGGGTGGCTAGCGATTTGGGGAACAAGGAAATTAAAACATTGACAGAAGAAACAAAATGTAGTTCAATCAAGTCTTGCTCTCATAATAAAAGTAAAATAAAAATAAATTGAAGCTTTAATATCCTAGTATTTGGGGTTGAATAAAGACATACGTCCATCAAGTCCAACCCATATCACTTTACATGGTAGCATTTCTCTATCCCTGTTATTCCACCTCCATCATCGTCAATTCCAGCCAATTAGAGGTGAGAAAACATTTACCGTTGCTAATGAAGGATTTCTTACCCCCCTCTGTTCTTTGTCTCAGGATCACGCGGTGCTTTTTGTGAAGTCAGACCCAACGACAAAAGAATCCTCGATTTTTACAGCCAGCTCGGCTTCTTCGAAATTGCCAAAATGGAGGGATTCCCGAAAGATATTCTTATCCTCGGAAGAAGCCTTTAAATGTTTGCTGAAAAACAAAAAAAACTTGTCTGGATTTGTTCCCCGCGATTCCATGTTTTTGCCGGCCGGATCTTTGAACAACTCCTATGCATTCTACAACACAACGATTCGATCTTTAATACAGAGTAAAAAAAAAAGCAACAAAAAAAAGCAAGTTTTTAAATAGTGTCGGCTTCTCTACGACGCTGTCGTTCCTTTTGCATGAGCTCTTAATGTCGGGGGAGTTCTGTGCATCTAGGTGTTCCTATAGAAGGATCCGTGTCCAGGTTTCTTTTTCTATGTCGTTATGAGTTAACGTGTTCAACGGCTTTCTCATTTAATATCGTTTTGATTTTTGAAGAGATCTCGAAAACATGCGTCGTTTGTGCACAAAGGCGTCGCGATCGGTTTTTTGTCCCCCCCTAGAGGTAGCCCCAACTTTTGTTTCTTCTTCTATAAGGGAAGGTGAACGATGTAGCACATCTCAAGGTGAATAAATGGGGTCGGATAGAAGTTGTCTGAGGAAATAAAAACAAAATGATGATGATTCTGTAAATGTAACTCGGATAACGTATGTACAGACTGTATACCATTGTTTTTTTTTTTGTATATTATTATGTTGACGTTTCTTTATGCAAAGCTTTGATCAGGCATGCTTCATTTTAAACAAAAACACAAAAATAACGGTTGAAACTGTAAGGATAAGAAAAAAAAAGGTGCTTTAAACCTGAACTTTCCATGTTCCGTTTACACTGCTCATTGTGGTTATAGTTATTAACAAAGGCGGTCTGTGTATTTCAGATGAGGTATATGCGTTTTACCACGTCGCTCCGTAAGCTTATAGGTACTGCAAGGGAAATTCCACTTTGCATACAATAAAACTGGTGCGTTTTACAGAAGAGGCCACCGGGGGGCGGCTGTTCTGCAAGGCGACGCACACATCAAAGCTGCAGACTTCTAGTGTGCAGTATGTATGATACTTCCTTTTGTTAAAGGCATAATCCACCATTTATATCATGTTTTAGGTTCGATCCATATTCAGGGTGGTTGCATTCCTCAACCCCCAACCTTATCCCCCCCCCTCCCCCCCAACTTATCTGTTTTGTTTTAAATTCATCCATTCACCTCTTTGGAATCTTTGGAACCTGTTCACGGCAGAGGGACTCCCTGATAACGCAACCAGCAGCAGGGCGGTGACGTCACAGCACTTGTAGTCCATTTACACTTCCTTCAGCCCCATAACAGAAGGTCTGTCCTGATCGAGGGGTAATCACTGCAGGAGCCTGTGCATTGCACTTATCGTGGTTGCAATGCTCTGCAGGCCTGAATGCAAATATATATATCTATATATAGAGATATATATATATACACACACACACACACACACACACACACACACATATATCTATCTATATCCTTTTTTTTTATATAATTAAAATGTGTGAATTTGTTACTTTTTTTTTTGCAAACGGTGGACTGTGTCTTTAAAGCTGAACTCCAGGCAGGTATTAAAAATCACCAATGAATGCAGCAGATTATCCAATAACTATATTAAGGTTAATCGGTCCATAAATTTGTATTGGTGTCAGCTGTACAGCAGAGCTCCAACTAGGGCAGAGAGGGGCGGCTTTAGAGGCCAGGTTGTGTAAGCAGCACGTGGTTATACTGCAAAGGGATTCGTTGACAGGAATAGAAGGCAGATGGATGCGCTCATCCTCCTGCTACTAACCTGCCGAATCACAGGTTGGGGGTAAGAAGGTGACCTAGTTGCAGAAATGGATGGACAGATACTTTGGTAGATGAGAACACCGCTCTATAGGAATTCCATACTTAATTGGAAGTTTTCCTGGAGTTCAGCTTTTAATTTGACGAAGATTTCTTGACTAACAATTGTCACACATCAGCTGAAAGTTGAAATAAAGCTTGCGCTGCGAGTGTCTGCTTTGAAAGTTGATGTGCAAGAAGGCATTGGGGGCGAGTTTACAGTGGAGAGAGAAGTCGGGTGGGCTTTGCCCCCGTGGTTGTACTTTTGTAGGTTTCCAAAGAGCAAGTTCGCAGCTACACAGCACAGCCGGGTGGGATCAGCAAAGGCTGGAAATAGAAATCTTACTAAGGTACAGCTAAGTGCTCTTCACTTGGGATGCACTCCGCTTTGGACCGATCCTGAGCTCCTCCAACATGGAAGTAAGCTCCTTCAGCTGGTGCGGGGGGAATTCCTGGCTGTCGGCTGCACCTAAGCAGAGGCGGGCTTCAGTGACATCATTGACCTTATATGGCTATATTTGCTCAATTACATTGACCTTGTATGGTCACATGGCCATATAAAGTCAAAGGCATCAGCACAAGCGTCCCGCCCTGGCCTGCATCTGATTGGACACATGGCCCTATGTTTTCCGAACCTGAGCTCATCCTGCTCTTCAGAGCAATGAAGAATCTCACTATATCCTGTAATCGGATGCTGGGCATTGTAGTTCTTTCAATGCTGCATGTTGGCCATGCTTCATGTGGGGTAGATGTATGTATCTAATGGTCTTTGGATGCTGTTGAAGTAAACATCTCGGCACAACCTAGCTAGGGTTCATCTTTTTTTTTATTACAGCCTCTGCAGTCAATGCACAGATCAATATTGCAGATATATTATTCGACCTTCTTGGGTTTGCTCTCCTTCCGATCCAATTGTTCTGGCCTAGAAAATACACTGATGTTCTGTCCACCCTGAGCAGTCCTCTCCGGATTGTGTGCATAGGACGGATTTATAACCCCTGTACATCATGCGTCCCTTCTACATTGGGGGTTTTCTGCGCTTTTGCATGTAGCTGTGCGTTGTGACTATTCCCCCTCTGACTCTAACCAAGGGCTACTAAGGACGCAAGGCAATTGGAATTGGCCGTCTCCGGCTTCTTATTTACAAAGGAAGTTTCACTCAATGCCGGATATAGAAGCTTCCACGTCACCGCAAAAACGGAACATAAAGTGAACGGGTGCTTGCAGCACATTTTAATACCGTTTGCTCTTGCAACATGGCGTCATTGGTGCACTTTTATTTATCTCCAGCTCGGTTAGCGCTTCAGTTTGGCAAAGTGGAACTCCGTTTTTTTTCTTCGTAGTGAATTGGGGCTTTTTATTTCCGGTGGGTTGGTTTCCCTTCACTTAGAGAAAACATTGGAAGATGTTTATACGTTTAAAGCACTTGTTTTGCATCGGTACTACCATGTTCTATTTCTTTTGGTAATTCACTATATAGAAGGCTTGCCTCTAAAGCAGCGGTTCTCACCGTGTGGGTCGCAACCCACAGTTGAGGGAAGTCGCCATCTGCCTCGTGCTGCGCTAAGGGAGAGGCTCCTCAGCCTCTTCCTAGCACAGCAGTGTCAGTTCTCCGGCCATGCTGATAGATGGCGCTGCCGCGGTGGCGGCCTGGGAGGATAAAAGAGAAGGGATGTGAGTGCCGGTGATCCTATTAGTAGCCGCATTGACCACCGCGGAGCCCGCACTGACCACCAGTAAGGCCCCACCACAGAGGCTGCACTGACCACCAGAGAGCCTGCACAGATACTAGTATTGGTGCATCCCTAAATGTTACTGTTGGGGGCAACCATAACTTGGCAAATGTTATGAAGGTCCCGGGCCCTAGGAAGGTTGAGAACCACAGCTCCAAAATAATCCTGGTCAATTCAGATGCATGCAAAAGGCAAGCTTGATCAGTAAGCCCCCGTGAGCTGGGATAGGTGGGGTGAAGCTTGGCCTCTGCAGTAGAAACGGTCAGTATTTTTGGGTGACCTGTTTTAACCTACGACTTTCACCAAGGACCTATTGGCAGTCAGTGCAACATCATTTTGGATGGACTGGCCGTTGCACCTGTAACGCATGGCATACACGCTACTGCAGGTGTGCAATGGGGCGCCATTGTAAATGAATGGTACCGCAGCTCATTATGCTTTGTTTGTGGTAACGTGGGGGTCTGAATGGGCCCCGGAAATATCCTCTTCTTAGGCATCTTTCATGTTGGGTTTATATTGCCCCGGATGGGAGCAGGTTTAGTTTGAACATCATGTAAATATATATTCACACAAGTTATGAAGTATTTGGACTGATGATAGTGTTTTTGTTTTTTTTTCCGCATTATTCTTCCAATGTTTAGATCTATTTTAAAGTGGAATTGAACTTCAAAAAGTCCAGATTTGGTATGTTCTAGGGAACATTTTAAAATATGAATTGTACCCTGAAAAATCTTTTGTCTATATTTCCTCCTGATATTTAGGGCACTTCCTGGTATATGACGGCGCCCAGACACTCCTATGCCTACAACCTCATAGCTGTATATGTGCTGGCTGAGCTGCTGCTTCTGCCTGCTACTCCCAGGAGATTTGATGTCGCTGCTCACTGTTCTCTTTGCTGGGGGTTGTGGCATGAGGAAGTAAAGCCCTGCCTCTACCAAGATGGCTGCCTGCACACAGAGCGTGGTAAGCCAGTATTGGGGAAAGATCAGCTGCAAGGAGACCACAGGCAATAATGGTGACTAGTCATTTGCCCTCAGCCTGTTTTTTTTTGCCACAGCTTCCTCTTTAAGGTGCTCCCTTACCCCCGTGACATTTACGTCTTGCAGCTTTTTGTATTGCAACTTTATTTGGAGTGAGAATTTCAAATGTTTGTCCTTCTCCAGCCGTTTCAGCGAGTGCCCCTCTTTTTTTAAGGGGTGTATTTATATACCAGGTCTGGCAACAAGATGCGTAGCGCGTTATGACCCCCCTGATTGATCTGAAGAGTCTAGGAATCTGCTAGTGGTCATCGTGTGCTGGGATTCTCGTTTGCAGAGCTGTTCACTGCGCGAAACCGTTTTTATAAATACACCCCTTAGTGTTCGGTTTTACTCACGATGAGGCAGAACAGCCAATGGAATGGTGAGGGACTACCGTCTTCAGTAACTATCCTGCCTGCCTATCTGGCTGGGTTCCACTATACAAAATATTTCTGATGTTCATATAAGTTGCACACCTTTTTGTAGAATGGTTAAGATTTTGTTTTATAATAAAACTAGTAAAAATCACTTGTTTGTTTTGTGTTTTATATGCACTCTTTTATTTTTACTTTATCAATACAGAAAACACATTATATGGCCTTAAAGGGTCAACAAATTCTGGCCCTCCAG